CGGGGGTTTAACTGGGACTCTGCAGCCCGGGCTGCCGCCCGACGCGTGAGCCCGCGAGTGGTGCGTGTGACTGAAAATACACCGCGGAATTCGTTAGAGTGTGCTCAGAAGCACCGCGGAAGTATGGGATCAGAGGCCAGAGACCCCGCGTCGGAGTTGCCACAGCCATGTGTTCAGAAAGTGTTTTAATAAACGCTGTTAGAATTCCTTAGTTTTATTGCCAAACTCCTGATGTTCCTGTGTGTGGGCACAGCGTTTCCTACTCCTTGAACACCCCGTGTTGATGCTCCCAAAGTGTGTTCTGAGTGTTTCCCTGTGTGGGGTGTTCGGTCCTTGGAACTGATCAAAAATTGATGCTTTCCTTTATGGCCTCAGGCTCTATCTCTGGCAATTACTTTTGGGTGGAGCTCCAACTTTCTCTTACTTTGATTTAACTTATTAAATATAGAGTATTTTTACTGGGAATATTGGATACAAGAGACAAATGATACCTGCAAGGTGTGGGTGGAAAGCAGATGAAAGATGATTCTTTGCATGCAGGTAGCTGTAGAACTTTTTATTACAAGTTTTTGTGGGTGCAAAACTTTCAAGGGGAGACTTTTTGACTTGATAGAAGTTCTGTCATTAGGGATGAGCCAGATAGACCCTCTCTGTGGGAAAGTGACTCCAGACAGCAGAGAGGCTGCTGGGGGTGAGGAGAGCACCCAGGAGGAGTCTCAGTACTTGTGGTGGTGTTGGCTTCTGGCTGTGGGCGTTTGGCTGCAGGGGAGGGGACATAGATGGAGCTGCTGTGGGTATTTCTGCTTACAGGGGGAGTTGTTCAGTGTGTGCTTGTGGGTAGAGGGTTGTTTGGGGGTGTTTTGCTTGGTCTTTGAGAGGTGTGCTAGGTGAGAGCTGTAGAGTGGTGGATGTCTCTCCTAGGGAGGGCACAGCACTGAGGTTTTCATAGAATCATGAAGGTTGGAAAAGACCTCTAAGATCATCAAGTCCAACCATCAACCCAACACTATCATGAGCATTAAAGCTTGTCCCCAAGTGCCACATCCAGATGTTTTTTGAACTCCTCCAGGGCTGGTGACTCCTCCACCTCACTGGGCAGCCTGGTCTGGTGCCTCACCAATGCTCAAGTACCATTACCAGCCCACAGAGCCTTTTACAAGCCCTGTTCCTTTCCATGCTTACACCTGGAGATCTAATTCCATTTGAGGAGAGCAGTTTTGGGGATGTGTTTCTGGAGTTCCCAGGCTCTGGTCTCCCATTGGGGACTTTTGATCTCTTGGCTGTGTCAAAGCCAACATTTCCTCACAAGGGCTTCCTGGGTTTTCTCTGGCAAGTGTGCTCAGTAGTCACCTTCCAGGCTCTGTTCAGAGCCCACAGCAAACAGAATAACGTTGAAGTTTTCATTACACAAAGTAAACCAAAGAACACATCTTTAAATCCTTTTGTTGAAGGTCCTTATTTGTCATTTTAATGTCTACTTAAAAACCAAAACGCTTCTGAGCAGACCTGAAAAGCAGATGGGGCACTGGAAAACCAGCCAGGAATGAGCTCTGGTGTTGGGATTGGTTTAGAAAGCAGAGAAAACTATTCTTGGTACTGGTTTGGTTTGGGTTTTTTCCCCTTATAACACCTAGAAGTCACAAGTATAGCTAAATTTATCCATGAGGCAAAATTTTCCATCACAATCCATTGGTCAAAGTTTTGTAGTCTTGGCTTAGGTGGAGCTGGGTGTTGGTAGGAGACCCTCTCTAAGGGGATGGGCCAGATGCTGTGTTTGTGTCCTGAGGGCCTCCTCTCCCATCCCAAAGGCCAGAAGATGAGCAGCCACCTTATAAAAAAACCATACTCAGTACCTCACTTGTTGAAAACTAACTAATTAAAGAAGAGTAAATTCTCTGGGCCACAGAGGATTTTTCCTCAGGGTATACAGGGGAGCAGGGTGTAACAAAATGAATATGGGAGTGTTTTCTAATGGGTTTGACAATGATGTTTTCTCTTTCAGGGCAAATGACCCAGCTTTGTGAACTGATCAATAAAAGTGGAGAGCTGCTAGCAAAAAACCTGTCCCACCTGGATACAGTGCTCGGGGCCCTGGATGTGCAGGAACACTCCTTGGGTGTTCTTGCAGTCCTGTAAGTGTTGCTTTCTTCTCATGAAACATCTCAGTTACTAAAAACTCAGTCCACATGGCAAACTGTTGACCAAATGTGGGGTTTTTTTGGACATGAATGTTTTCAATCTGCATTTCTTAGAATGAGGCTTCGTTCCCTTTGAGGCACATTTGATTAATAAAAATACCAAGGCAAATTTGTGTTTTCAAAAGGAAAAAAAAACTCTGGAGCTTGTAAACATAGTTATTGCCAAATGGTGATGGTGTCTCTTTTCCTTAAGGCTGTGTCATGTTTATATCTTTTATTTTTCCTTACATGTTCAGCAAAAATGTGTAAAACTAACTTTGAAAATGTGACTGACAGGGCATTAGTGTGCTGGACTGGGAGCATGAGGCCACACCTCTTTTTTTCCAGTGAAATATGGGTTCTTATCATTGTTCTGGGGTATTTGTCTCTAGACAGCACTGAGGCTCCTGCTGCCCTTGGTAGGTTCAGATAGCACTCAGATTGCCTTGGTGATGCTGAAGTAAGGCAAAGATACTTGGCCCTGGAGCTTAAACTGTTGTTTCTAGCTATACCTAACTGCCCTGTAAAGTGTCTACAGGTTCCATTTTTAAGGTGTTATGTTTTAAGGAAATGCCAGAATTCTGGTACTTGTTCTGCTACCCTTCAGAAACAAAATTATTGTAATACACAGAGTAATGCACTTAATATTGCAACTCAGTGGCATGTCCTGAAAATGCAGAGTGGAGTTTACCCAAAGCAGGGTGCTGGTGCTGCATTAGCAGAATCATGTCATGGGCTATGTGAAAATAGTCACTAAACCCTGTGGAGGAAGGGAGGTGACTGTTCATAAGCAAGAATATGTAAAAGGCCTTATTTGAAGAGATGGAGTATCTGGTAAAGTTCTGGCTGAAACTGTGGCTTGGCAAACTGTGCTGGTAGAATAAGACTCTAATGAGACAGTGAAGGGGTGGCAGGGTGTGACCTGGGGAAGGAAGGACAAGAGGTACACAGCTAATGATTTAACAGTTGAGAAGTTGAGTTTGGGATCTGATTGATAGCTAAAAGGCAAGGATCAAGAGGATGGGGCCAGACTCTTGTCAGTGGTGCCCAGTGACAGGACAAGGGGCAACAGGCACCAACTGGAACCCAGGAGGTTCTGTTGGAACAGGAGGAGAAAATTCTTTGCTCTGAGGGTGCCTGAGGGTGGAGCAGGCTGCCCAGAGAGGCTGTGGAGTCTCCTGCTCTGGAGAGATTCCAAACCCAGCTGGATGTGACCCTGGGTGACCTGCTGGAGCAGAGGGCGTGGACAGGATGATTTCCAGAGGTCCCTTCCAGCCCAACATTCTGTGAAATCTTGAGCTCATTTAAGCAGGAGGTGGCTGTAGGCTATGCAAAAGTATCCAGGGAAGTTGTGTGGTTGTGCATTGCCATTCATCATCATCAGCCAGTGTTTCTGTTACAACTGTGGCTGTTGTACCAGATAAAATGATCTTTGGTCACCACAGTTTGTCCTAGGTTGTAGTTTGCACACTTGGGTTCACAATGGGGGTGTGCATGGAAAGCCCATTTCCCCATTTTCCTATGCCATCCATTATGAACACTCTGGGTTTGTTTGCAAGCCCATGTGAGCATCTACAGAGACTAAGCAATAAAGACAAAGCTTTTCCTATTAATCTCCAGATGTTAAGTGCTAAACCTTTTTGTTGTTGTTGTTTTTTTCTAGGTTTGTGAAGTTTTCTATGCCCAGCATCCCTGACTTCGAAACATTATTCTCACAAGTGCAGCTTTTTATCAGCACTTGTAATGGGGAACACATTAGATATGCAACAGACACTTGTAAGTTGAGCTTATTTGTGAACTTGATATATTTCTGGATAGTGTGGTATTGCTGATTTTTCACTGTGTTGTTTTTTTTTCTGTTTTTTACCATATTTAGTTGCTGGCCTGTGCCACCAGTTAACAAACGCCCTTGTGGAGAGAAAACAGGTGAGCAAGTATCATCTAGTACAGATAAGCTGCCTACATACCCAGGCTCATAAAGGGGCTGTTACCAGTCTCTTACTTCATAAAGATTTGCCACTGACTTGACATTAAGTATTTCTCTGCAGCTCCTTACTTGTTAAGTGTACTGGGAGGTAAGGAACCTCACCCAAGGTTTTAAGATCTAAGGCAGATGTAAGGAAGATAAACTGGAAGGAGGGAGAGTTGCCTAAAAACGTGCCTTTGCACACAAAGTAGCAAATCTGTAGTACCAGAAATGTTCTTCAGATGATGTGTGCCTGAGTAGGAGAGAGCTGCAAAGATGATTAGCACTGGTGAGTCAGTGGTACTAGTTTCAGTGTTATTCTCACCAGTGTTATATAATGTTCTTAATCAAATGCCTTAAAATCTAAAGGAAACTTGCTTAAGAAATAGTTGACCAATGTTTTTGTTGCTAAGATACTGACTTTCTCAAGCCACTTGAGTAAAATCCAGCCTGAAATAGAAGTAGGGTCTGGTCAAAGTGGAGTAAAGTGAGAGCTTTGTTATTCAGTGAGAGTTTAGGTGGTGTCGTGGAGTCAAAAAGGGCTTTCTCATCCACACAAATCACTGTGTTCCTGATGAGGTTGGCTTTATGGAGCAGTGTTGATGATTACATTTAGTTTATCAGGAGAAGTTGTGTAGCCAAGGTTAATTTTATTTTCTGAGAGACTGCATTATCCTACAAAAAGGGAACCTCAAGTTAACTATTACTTAATGGAACCTGTCAATTAGTGTTATTTTTCATTTGTAAGTGTCAACATAAGATCCAATGTGCTGCCATCTATGAGAAATTATCTGAAAGAGATGTAATTTCTGACAGCCCCTGCGAGGAATTAGCATTCTCAGACAAGCCATAGACAAGATGCAGATGAACACAAACCAGCTGACCTCAATACATGCAGATCTCTGCCAGGTAAGGGGAGCAGCAGAGCTTTTTCTGGGAATAAAAGCTCATCAGATACCTCTAGTTCTTTGGGGAAATGTGTGTTCCCATATCCTAGTAATAATAGATACTGAAATAAAATCCCCTTCTAATAATTTTAAGTGTTCAGTGCATGTCCCCAGATCTTTGGTTGTGTTGATGACTTCTGAATGTCCTTTCTCTCTGGGCTGAAAGTCACGTGCAGCTTCTTTTGGGCAGTAGAAGTGTCATAACCAAGTACTGTTTGCTCAGGTTTGACAAAAGGCTTGTTTCTCTTGGTGCCTTTGGCTGGGATTTTGCACTTCTGTCTTGTTCTTGGCTCCTGGGATTTAGGGTTAGACAGGAATGTTTAGTGCAATATTTAGTGCTGCCAGTATGGTTGTCTGCAATGTCTGGAGCTGCAAGTGACTTTGTCAGTCTGATTTCTTTAGGATTCAGATAATTTATAAGAGCTCACAATTGGTGATAAGTTTTTTCCCAATACAGTCAATTATCTGTGTTGCAGCAGTACTAACATGCAACGATTTTCCAGCCTTGGAGGAGTGGGATTTATTGCACAGCACTACATGAATTTAGTTTCAACTTCTTCCTCATGGAGATTTGAACGGAAATGGCTAATTTATGAAAACTCAATTTATTTTCTTGTAGCTCTGTTTGTTAGCAAAATGCTTTAAACCTGCCCTCCCGTATCTAGATGTGGACATGATGGATATTTGTAAAGAGAATGGGGCATATGATGCGAAGCACTTTTTATGTTACTACTACTATGGTGGGATGATATACACTGGGCTAAAGAACTTTGAAAGAGCACTCTACTTCTATGAACAGGTAACTTGAAATAAAATGGTAAGTCTAAAGTGTGATCAAATGAGAGGCAGAAGTAGCATGTGTAAGGAGAGGACGTGTTGTCTTTGAATTGCCACCAAGGATAGCAAGAAAAGCCAGGAACCTAACCTAAAGTGCAAGCAGCCTCCAATTACTTTAATTCTTAACCTTAAGGATATAATTCTACTAACAGAGCCATGCTGCTGCTCATCATTCATGGAGGTTATGGTTTGTAACGTGTGTGTATCATTGTAATGCATCAAAACACAATTTGGGTTCCTGTTTGCTCTTAGCCCTTCATGAAAGGCACAGCCTGAATGGTGCTTTTTGGTGTATAAAGTGAAATAACAGGCAAACTGGCTTTTGGGGTGTTTTCCTTTAAGAAGGTCTCTTACAGCCAAGTAGCTATTGCACCGTGAAACTATGCAACTCAAAGGTTGATGTTAAATTTATCTCCCTATAAATATTTCTCAGATGCCTGCTTATTACTGCTGGCACAGGAACAGTTCACAGGCTGGCGTTCAGAATGGATTCTTAAAGAAAAAATAGTCCTGAGGTTTTGCAGAGACCTTTCTGAATTTTACAAGGGGAGTTAGTTACACTTCTTCAGGGCTGTTGCAATATTTGCTGCTTTTACTTTCTCTGTAAGGAGAGAAAAATGCAGAACTGGAAAGACTTTGAATGTATGAGAGGGAAATGCTGTCAGATGTGCAGCATTATTCTTTGCTGTAAACAAGGGTCAGCTCCTGAGTCACTAGTGCTATCAGAGGAAACCAAAATCCCTTTTCCCTGTTCTGGAGCCCTCTTTCAGCATACTGAAATATGAGCCCTGATGATTAATAGCTTTATAATATCTCTTTAAGGATCTGGGTAAATCCAGGTTCTACAGGTATTGTATAATCATTCCTGGCAGCAAGCAGCTACAGGTCATTTCTAGTACAACTTTAGAGGTAAACCAAGGCAAGATGGTTTGTTTTGATCTCAGCAGGGCTTCTGTAAGGTAGGCATCACTGTGACATGGTATGTGTTGAGTAGCTTGTATAGAATTTACTTCTTTAGGACATTTTGGGATAATTAATTTTGACAGAAGTTCGTTAAGCTTGAATGCTCAGAGGTGACTTTCATATGTCATTGTGTCCTTTCTGTATGCAGGTTTAAACTGAGATTTTTGTTAGTGCAGTAGCTACCAGGATCTTCCAGTAAATATACTAAATTTCTCTTCCATTTCTTTCTTTTGCTTAGGCAATAACTACTCCAGCCATGGCAGTCAGTCATATTATGTTGGAATCATATAAAAAGTATATTCTAGTTTCTTTGATACTGCTTGGCAAAGTTCAGCAGCTACCAAAATACACTTCCCAGATAGTTGGTAGATTCATTAAGGTAAGTCTTACAAACACAGCCAAATAATATACAAATTCAGATTTGTTGCTCTATAATTTTGTACTACCCTCCTTTGAGGGGACTGTTTAACATTGCAAATCATGGGAAATAATGCACCATGTGCCAGAGTACAACCTCTTGCTGCCTTTCTAGTGTACAGTAGCTAAAGATTGTCTGGCAACTTCTGTCTCTGTTACACACAAACTGTAGTGTTCATATTGGTGATACAGGTTTTTAACTCTGGGAAAACTTTGGGGTTGAATAGTATTTACCAAAATTCCCTTCACTGATACTACACATCCCTGGATACATTTTATGTTAGAACTCAAGCAAGACTCTGCTTTCACTTGGGTTTCAATGTGTAGTGTCCTTGTAGAAACATTCAACCCATAACCTCACCTAGCTGAAGTACAAAATACTAAATAGTTTATTGCAAAGCTTCAGCTTTATAAAGAATAAAAGTTTCAGAAAAAGCTGCAGGTTTGGAGTATGCAAACATTCCCATTGGGTGGTAAACTGCTTGTTGAGAGAGTTCTGATCCTGGGGAAATAACAGACTTTTCAGAATGAATTAGTTCTTATTTAAAGCTGACTTTGTTGATTCGTGACCAAAATTTGAGAGTTGCAAAAATCTTCTAACTTCAGATACTAGTAAGCAAGTTCAAACAATTGCCATTTTAAAGTCATGTAGGGGAGCTAGTCTTCACCCTCTGGTTCTGGTGTCCACACTGTGAGGTGTTGTGGTCAGGGCTGACAGTGTCTTAGAGAGCAGAACAAATACAAAGGATGGGCAGTGACTGGTCATTGCCATTTTAAAGTCATGTAGGGGAGCTAGTCTTCACCCTCTGGTTCTGGTGTCCACACTGTGACGTGTTGTGGTCAGGGCTGACAGTGTGAGAGTAGAACAAATACAAAGGATGGGCAATGACTGGTCAGTATGCCACATACCTTGAATTCAGCTTATTTCATGTGCTGGTCAGCTGATGGATCTTTTCCTTGCACTGCCATACCTAGAACTGTCACACAGAGGTCCTAGCATGGTGATCACTAAATCTGATAGATCAGTGATACAGACTTGGCATGTGAGGATCTATCAGTGCTGCAAAGTCACGTGCAGGCATCACGTGTTTCTTGGGAGAGATGCTTCAGCTCCTTACATTTACTCTTATGCCTGTGTGGCTTCTAATGCTGAAGCAGAACAGATTTTGTGAGGCTGGCTGAACACTATCCCTGAAGAAGGGCTCTCATTTTTCTAATTGCAGCCCCTTAGCAATGCTTACCATGAATTAGCACAAGTTTATTCCACCAATAAACCGTCGGAGCTTCGAAATCTGGTGAACAAGCACAGCGAGACGTTCACGAGGGATAACAACATGGGGCTGGTGAAGCAGTGCTTGTCATCTCTCTACAAAAAGAACATTCAGAGGCTAACCAAGGTAAGATGCAGGGGGGGTTGTTTTGTTGAGGAATTGTGAGTAGTTTTTCTCTAGAGTGTATTTCTGAAATGCGTTCAGTTCACAGCAAAATTATATTGTAGTAATGTCATGGAGAAGTGACTAAACCTGAGGTTTGTGTCTCTGAAACAAATGAGGCTAAAATGCTCAATGCAGAAAGCCAATTCAGTTGACTACTTAGGCAGAAGGTGGTTCAATATGTCCCATCTGTCAAAGGGGTTTGCACATGACATTTTCATCCATAACAATAAAAGTTGTGAGTGCTGCTTCCCAGTGACCTTCATCTCTATTCGACAAGAAGGAAAACTGAACTTCACAGGCTACTTCATTAGAGAAAATTGGGTGAACAGGACAGATTTTGGAAGTGTCTGAAGTAAAAATAAAACCCAAAGCAGTGGAATGATGTGCTCCTTCAGCTGAGAGATGAGATTAACCCTTAAAGATGGTCAGGGAAAGCTTTTTTTTTGGTGTGGTTTTTTTTTTTTTTTTTTATTGGGGGGAAGCTCAAATGGTGTTTGTTTTAGTAGAGCTAACTTCAGAAGGAATGCAATCCACACAACTCCTGAAGGAAATTCAAGGGATGGATGATCACCTGATCTGTGCAAAAAGGTGATGGAAGAGGTGGGATGTGGTCAGGACTGCCTGGGGTAAAAAGGAATTGCAGGAATGGAGTAATGACTCCATAGCTTGGCCTGCACATGTATCATGAATCAATGTGGAGGAAAACCTGACTCCACTGACTGCACTTACACGATGCCTTTACACATAATTGTGCTCCACTTGTTTATCCTCATCAGACTTCAAGACTGGACAGTCCCTGGAGGATTGGTAGGGGAAGTTCTTCATGTCAAGTTTTAACAGACTGACACTTTCTAAATTTCAGACATTTTTAACATTGTCATTACAAGACATGGCAAGCAGAGTGCAGTTGTCGGGGCCCCAAGAAGCAGAAAAATACGTCCTCCACATGGTAAGACTTGGGGCTTGGCTTGAACCATTCTAATTTAAAAACTGACCCACGTGTTGGGATGAGCAGTGCATGTGCTGAACAGCTAAAGGACAGTTCTTCAGGGTGAAGGAAATGCTGTCAGTCAGCTGTGATGTTCAGACTGTTCTCTAAAAATCTTAAAAGATACACTCCACCTCAGACAAGGTGTGGATCATTTGTCTTTGGGAAGCTGTTAGGAAATAAAAAGTAAACCAGTTAAAGATGATTGCACAAGGAGTCTGTTGTGGTTAACTGAAATTCCATTTTAAGTGATACCTTACATTAAACCTCTCATTTCAGATAGAAGATGGTGAAATCTTTGCAAGTATTAATCAGAAAGATGGTATGGTCTGTTTCCATGATAATCCTGAAAAATACAACAATCCAGCAATGCTTCATAACATTGATCAGGAGGTAAATCTTTGAGATATGAACTGCTTTTGGAATTCCTACTGAAGAATCTGAGTCTGTAGTCAGAGAGCTGCTGGGAGAAGCCAGTGTAGGTAACTTACACATCAAGGTTGAGGACTAGGAGTTATTTTTTGACCATCAATCTAAAACCTTTAAATACCAGTACTGGGAAATGGTGGCTTACTGTCAGGGTGTTCCCTGTTGTCTCTTCTGTGGAGCCTGAGGTGTTTCAGTAGACTGCCTGCCTGACGTTGGGGATGTGAAGTCCCTTGAATCAAATGGATTAGAAAGATTGTTTTTAGAGTTTTGGAATCCAGGGATCACTTCCACTGGCTGTCAGTAACCTGCCTGGAGGTTCAGGTCATTGACCCTCATGAGTCTGTCTATCAGTGGCCTTAAAAAAGGTTTATTAGGAAGACATGGATCAAAACAGGGGAGTAAAAAATGATCTGATGATGGTTTGTTTACAAGGTAAGGGATGAGAAGATTCTGACATTTTGTGATGGCAAAAGTTGCTGGTTCTAGATAGCACAGACCTGAAACATCTTGAAGATCATGTACCAGCTGGGTAAAGTAATCAACTTAATGTCTGTTTTTAAGATGCTGAAATGTATAGAGCTTGACGAACGACTGAAAGCCATGGATCAAGAGATCACTGTGAACCCTCAGTTTGTGCAGAAGGTAATTGATTTAATGTCTTGTGAGAGATTCAGTGCAGTGTGTGTGGCGCCGAGTGTTGGTATTTACAGTGTTAATAACTGCTTATTATTAATAATAATAATACATGCATAAACATCATGCTTTAAAACAAAGAGGAAGTGCACGTTACTTCATCTGCGTTTTATTTTCCTACCTGTTAACTTCAAAGCACTGTCTGTCTCAAAGGTAAACCTTCAGACCTGGTTTTGAAAACAAATAACTCTCTCCCTTCCAGAGTATGGGCTCTCAAGAAGATGACTCAGGGACCAAACCATCCAGTTATTCTTGAAATTAATGTTGCTCACCACTCCGCTTTCAAGTAAAAGCTTACGAGAGAATCACGCCTGGAATAGGGCATGGAGGAGTTCCACGAAGAGAGCAGAGAGAACTGAGCTTTGCTTTTCACCTGGACATTAAGAAAATAAAAGAACACCCTCTCAGTACTGTATAATATCAGAAATATTCTCTGCAAAGAAAAAGGAAATCTCAAAAGAAACTTAAAAGTCTGTTGTGGATTTATTTATCTTCAGATTAACATCGTTAATGCATTAAATAATCTACCTTTTGTTTTAAAGGGTTTGAATGTTGCTGTGTTTCTGTAGCAGTCCTTTTTTCCTCTTCTGCAAAAAAACAAAGTGTTATTCAGGGAAGAATACAAACTAGTGTTGGTTCACTTACAAAAATAATTACTGGTTCTTTATTCTGTATTTAAAGTTGGCTCAAAGTGCAGATTTATCCTGTGTGTGGAGGGAGGAGAGGGGTGGAGTTTTAAGTAAATTCTCTACATCATGATTTGCATATCCCTGGTGTTGCTGGCTGCTGTCTGTTAAATGAACTAAGAGCTGTGCTCTTCCCAAAAGGAGGAGCTTTTTAACGACTCCTTGGGAGGCTGTGAGGACTTGTGTAGCTGTAGGAAATCCAGACGTGACAGCTATTTATGATTTGCAGTTTCTGGTACAAAATACCTCCTGATATCATTTGCTCTTAGATGAAATTTTAGACCTAAACAGAAAGATAACTGGGAGATCTTGGTGTTCTAGAGGATGCTGGGTATGACATTGTTCACATTGAAAGAAGTTTTAAATCTTTGTTCCTATATGATTGGCATGAAGGTATTCAGCAGGCTAATATGTTTCTGTGGTGGAAGTCCATTTAAGTGAAGGCTGTGCTGTAGATCTTTGTTTCCAAACAGAATAATTCTGCGTGGAACACAGAATTCTATACAGCTCTTGAGATGCAGGGGTTTATTTGAAGATATGCTGGAATGCAATCTGGTTTTTAATTCATTATTTTAAACATAAAAACTTTGTTGTTGTCGTTGGAATCTTTTAAGTGCTTCACCCCTTAAATCAATGGGCTCTTTCATTTTCTGTAGTTCTCCTGTATCTGAAGATTCTCCCTGTTCAGACACCTTTGCAACACTTCATGTCAGTGCAAATCTCCTGCTGTCAGGCATAAATAAACCTGTCATCAAGTCAGAATGTGAGGAGCTCAGCATCCAGTGCTTCCTACATAAACAGTAGACGAGGAGCTGCTTGCTGCTGCTGCTGCTATAACCTGCCAGCTTTCTTTTTTCAGGAGCCTAAGTGGGAGCTGAGGGTTTCTGCCTCTTGCCCTATGAAGCTTGTATGTATTGAGGTCACCTACAGTTGAAAACACTCCATTTGTGCTTCCAGTGTTGAGACAGCTGTCGGGGTTTTCACTTAAAATTGGTGTCTTAATTCTAGCAGAGCCTCTGTGCCAGCATCCTAGTAGGAGAGAGGTGTCCCCAGGTGGTTGTCTAGGTGGTGGATGGTGGTTTTAAAAGTAAAAATAGCAGTTTAGTGTTGAACACAGCCTAGGTCTGTAGTGTTAGTAGCTCACCACCGAGCACTTGTGCTTCCTATTGTAGAGACTTCCATGTTTGAAGGCAACTGTTACACCTGATCTTAAAGCAAAATCTTGTTTGTTTTTTTTTTCCATAACTTGCCTTACCAGTTTTTGTAATTAAAGATATTTATGATTTTTGAAGTTTTTTTTTTCCTAGTTAATCCCACAGTGATTACAGTGATTCCAATGCTTATGCAATTTCCCTCCCGTGGAAGTGTTGAACTAGTAGATGAGTAATGCTGTGGGCTCAGGCACAAAGCTGAGTTATCACAGCACTTACAACTGTGAGCAGGAGTCAGAGAAAGGACTGCCAGTGACTAACCCCAACCTGCCACCCACACAGAAATGTGGATGGATGGCTTCACGTTGCCAAGGGCTCACTTTCCAGGGGAGAATGTGTGCAGGGTGCTTTGATGGGGTTGGAGAAGAACCAGAACTGTCTGCTGGGCTGTGGCTTTTATACCTCTAGATCCTGTTAGTGAGTGTGGATTCACTTTTGGAGCACTGCAGGATGGGTTTCTGTCTGGAATTAGAGGCAAACTAATATGCAGCTGGCAAACAGCAGCTACATTTTCCTCTTCTTTTTTGTTGCCTAATATAGATAAAATTAATCCATGCTTACATCAAAAGGATGGTAGAAATAGCAATGTAATAGTTTCAGATGATACATTACCCTGTTTTTTCTTAATCTGATTTTTAAGAGGGCAAATGCTTTTAAAGCTAGAGACCTAGCGAGGCTCCTTCTCTGACGTGGGTAGTTGTGCTGTTAAACCCCAACTGTTGTTGAGAATTCAAAGTGGGGTCCCACCTGTATAATCAGCAGATAAAGCATTCACCAAAAGTGCTTCAGGGAAGGGCTTTTAAGTAATAGTTTGATAAACACACACGGTCTGGCATCTGTTGAAATTAAGTCAGATTTTTAATGAAGTAGCTTCTTCAAGTTTTGGAACTAATTGCACGGGCTGTGGTCAGCTGAGACGCCTTGAGAACTCTTGAGCTTTCTGGGTTTATGTCTATTTATTGCAGGGAAGGACTTTCCATGAAATGTAAGAACACTCCATGCTGTGCTCCTCCAAACTCAACTCTCAGAGGTCCCGTGGCTGGTTCTTCCTGCCGTGCGTGGCCACAAGATGTGCTCACGAGCCACCGAGTGCATGCTTTGATACCTTAACTCTTATTCTTATGTGTTTTAATTAGCCAGGACCTAAAATGCAGTTCTGAAGGTAGCAGTAGATGTGCAACGCCACTTCCTAGCCACAGGAGGGGTCTCTAGCTCAGTTATTAGCTATTAAAATGTCTCTGAGAAGGAAGGGTTGGAAGCTGTTGTACAACCACTGCTCCTGTGCTGCTGAGGAGCCCGGTCAGCGACCTCCACTAACACACCTAGTGCTGCCACTGCACCACGAGCTTTTGGGGAACTCCAGCTGCCTCCTCCCACACAACTGCCCTTCTCTCTCCTCCAGCACAACCGCGACCCGTTGTACGTGTTGTCATAGGCGCTCTGTATAACCTAGGAAATGTTCTCTGCATGGCCAAACTGGCTGAGGAGGCTAGTCCTGAGAAGTTGTTTAAATGTACTATTGGAAAATAAAGATAACAAACGAGTCCTCCTTAGTCTGTCTTGAATAAGATTGTAGGTCTTTTGTATTTGGCCTTTCCTTGTGGGGGGGGTCTTTTGTTCTTGTCCCTTCTCAGGACGTGTGGTTCTGGCTGAGTGGTGGGAGGCTGCCAGTTCTCTGCTGGGTGAGGCAGTGCCCTCTGCTCAGGAGATGTTCAAGCTCTCCTGGTGGCTCCTCGGAGATCTCCTGAACCTTCTCCAGCAGAAAGAGCCATTCTTTTTGTACAGTGTCTTCCTTGGGAAGTGCTGCTACAGGGCCTCATCTGAGATGGGTTCTGGGATTAGGTGGATTTAGATCAACCACGCCTATTTTTTGTGTTACAATAACCATCCATTTCACCAGCCAAGTACAATTTTCTTCAGGGGCACAATTACTGGTCCATCCATGGCTGCTTGGATCCAGAGGCGTGTATCGTAGTGGTGTCAGCAATAGCTGCTCTTTTCTGGGGGCTAAGTACAAATTTTACTTGGCCATATGATCTGTGCTGTTACTTTGTGGAAGCCTTTATTACTTGTATTCAGGCTTGGCTATTTAAAGCTCTGTAGGACTCAACCTCAATGTAAAGGGGAGGGGGGAAACTCAGTACTTTTATTATTTTGAAGCCTGCAAGAATCAATAATTTGGTTTCTCTTTCCAACATAGTTTTCTGGAAGTAAATAATCCTCTAATAAAACTTGATGCCCTAAAACTAGAGTTGTGTAATGGAGAGAGGGTCCGCATTGAACATTTTAAGTGGATTTCTGAAACGAGCGGGGAAAGGGAGCCCTGCATGGATGCGCTCATCTGCTCCAAGCAGGAGTTAAAGCACGTGCTGGGCCCTGCCGGCGGCTGTACCTGGTGACTTTAAGGGAGAGGTCGGGCCCGGGCTGCGGGGAGCACACGGGAGGGGACAAGGGGCTCGGAGGGACCCCAACCCCAAACTGCTCCCTCCGCCCCAGCCTGGG